AACTAATATTTTTTTATTTTTGAGAGCAGACGAGATGTCTGCCGTGATCACGGTTGCTGCAAAGTTTTAAAACATAATAAAATACGAGAAGTAATCAGAAAATATTAATTTCATTTAAACATTCACGCATTTAAATTCGATTACGATCTGTTCATTACAGCTATATAAAATTTATTTAAATAGGAGTATCCAGTGGACATTTAAATTTTCTTATTATTATCGTTTGAAAACCACAAACGTGAAACAAGGCAAACAAAATAACTTATTTGTGAGTACACAACCTGCTAATTAATTAAAACTATCATAATACTTTCTATTAAAACGAATAACATTACCTTTCTTGGTTCAATGTCAACTCTTGGTCACACACCTTCCCTTTGCACTTATTTTAGGATTATTATCACACGTGACACGACAATATTGAACATCTACTCGTATTTGATTACGATAACCACACATCACAAGTACAGAGGTCTCAGCTATATTTTCCACAATTCGTTAATAAATTAATCCACTGTTTACTAAGTAAAACTAATTCACTTGCGCTTAGAAAAACAAATGACAATATTTACCTAATAATAATAAAATGGCGCAAAAAATATGTCAACAGTTTACCGACCAATCAGAGAGTCCCGTTTCATTTGTCAATTAACGGACTTTCTACGACGTTTTAAAGTTTAAAATTTTGTATTGTTTAAAATTTAAACAATACAAAATAATCAGTGCTCCTCAAACAGAATGCATGTGTTTGTTTTACACACACACGTACAAACATTTCCTGCAAACATACACGAGATTTGTAGATCGTCCTTGATCGGCCGATCGAAAATGTTTGGTTTTTACATTGATAGATGGCACTCATTAACTAATCATGAATCAAATTTCATTTTAAATATCTGTTAACATTTGTTTTTCGTAACGTATGATTAAAAGTATGTAAGTAAGAAAAAACAATATAAGTTTAGTTGTTATATGGGTAGGGTATGCAGTGCTTATTTGCATCTATGGTGTGCACGCCACTGATTATCACGTCCTATCTACGAAACAAAGTCCTTGTATTGAGAATAAAATATATGAGTAAAATTTTAATTTATCTACATTGTAATTTTGATGTGAATATGTTTTACAGAATTGAGAATACCCAGTTAAGTATGTAAACTATTCCAATACTATCAGCAGACAAAATAATTTAGATCTTATAAATATATTAGGGGTGAACTGAATAGTTCTTAGATTTATTATTATTAAATCGTAATCTTTATAAAATTAAAAGATCCTTAAACTGTAGTGATATAACTCTAAAATAATGAAAACAATTTTATATTCTCAACAGTAAAACGTTTTGAAAAAGATACACTTTGCATCTATTTTCCATTCTTTCAAGTAAATTATCAACAAGTTTGCCTATTTTGCAGGAAAATATTTGCGATTGATTTGCTGCCTAAAATGACTACATTTCCTAACTTATCTAGAAGAAAAACAAAATTAAATAAATCAGGTTCTAGATTCGAAAATAAAATCAAGATGAAACAAACACTTTATTATTGTACTGATCTCTATCGCGAAGACAGTAAAATACATTTACAAAACAAATTTTGCATTTTAAATCGAAGAGTTCTCAGCGACACTGAATGTCCAGTTTCAAGCGCCCAATAAAAGCAATTGGATATATGTACATTGCGATGCTCTTATACGATATGCATCGCAATGCTCTTTTGGAACAATGCAGCGTTTGTATAGATAACATCAATGCTATACAACTTTAACGTAGGCAACTTATTCAGTTATTTTCCGCTTAGAGAGCAATGTTATATTTTGAAAATCAGTATTTCAAAATTTTATTCCCGTAAAGTTATAATAAAAAGGAAAGAGGGTTTATTTATAGTCCTTTATTGCCACGCACTAGCTTCAAATCGAAGAATTGGAAAGAATTTAAAGCTTAATTAATAAAGCCGCAGTAATGAAAGTTACAATGAAATATTTATATGGGTAAGTGTATCTACCTACATACTTTTTAATATAATACCTTTTAGTGGATTATGTACATAATATATAAGTGCAATTGATATATTATGAACACAATTTTTATATCTAAGAGGTGGTAGAGCCTAGCTGTGGTTAGTTACTACAGCTCGAACACGGGCTGGCTCGACCGGGGAAGTACCACCCTCTCACAGAAGATCGGCGTGAAGTAGCCTTTAATGGCTGCGTTTCGTCCGATGAGTGAGAGAACCGGTTGCCCTTTCCCTATTCCCACCCTTTCCTACAATATCCTTATTCCCACCCCTCCCTATCCCTATAAAACAAGGTTGGCAACGCATCCGCAACATCTTTGTTGCGGATGTCCATGGGCGACGGTAACCACCTCCCATCAAGTGGGCCGTCTGCTCGTTTGCCACCTTTGACATAAAAAAAAAAAAAATCTAACTTCAGACTTAAAAATTGTAATGTTCCGACAAGCAAAAAGTTGTACCTACTAGGTTCAAAGACGGTGTCATGTCCTCCAAGTAAACCCGATACAGTCTGAAATTGTGATAATTTTTAATAAGTTTTTTCTACAATCCACCAACTAAAGTAGCGGCCCCAAATCCATCTCCGAAACTGCTTCTCAGGCACCATTACATTTCCCGGTCGACGATTTGATAACATATGTATTGCTTATTTGCATCTTATCTTTTTCGAACAGCTTTATAATAAGCTCTAGATGAAAGTCAGCTTATAGTAATGAAAACCTCTTTCTCGGACTATATCAATATTAATGCGAATGGCTTCACATATCAAATCACTAATTTGCTATTATGACAAGGAAAGAAAATTTCGGTAGCGATACCTAATATTGTTCTCAATCATCTATTGGATCTCATTTTAATCTCGCTATCTATTGGTTCGCAATTTAAACAAACCTTTTGGCATAAGCATAAAAGTATTCAATTTTTAAGATCGTATGGACACTGGTAGCCTGATCGCTTAGCTCCTGTGCGCATTCTTCTATTTTTGGACTGGATTTATAAAATTTACTCACAACTCAATTTAGTCCCCTGATAGGCCCTTCTTGTTCGGTAAAAGAAATAAGAAAGTGTAAAATCACAAATCAGCTGCGTCGTTTCTTTTTACAACAGGAGACGGTAGCGACGACAGGCGTGACATAACGTTTTACCTACTTAGATATGTATGAACAATTAAATTATCATCACATCTAGGTGTAGATACATCAGAATCTATAGTGTAGATCATACGTGCCTAATCAGTTAGGAAAAGCGGTGGAATCCTATGATGGATACTTTAACGGAATATATCAGGGATGTTTAGTAAAAATTTTAATGGTATGTCAACTTAAGGTGTTAAATGGGCACTGTTGAGGGGGAAGGCATACTATTTGATCATTTCTCTATAAGATCATCACAGTGGTTGTCCCTCAAGCTTGAGTTTCATCATGAGTAACCATTTCACTTCCATAGGACTCGGTCAAGGAACTAACTGTCTTCCCTGAAGATTTACACCATGGTCCATAAGTAAATATGAATTTCAAACAGTAGCTCAGTTTGTTATAGTTAAACAAAAGCACGAACAGAATTTCAAATAAATCGAGAAAATAGCGGCTGTCTCCTTTTCCGACGCGTCGAATTTAGTATTTAATTTATACCCACACTAAAATCCTGTGATACCGGATTTCCAAACCTATTTACGTTAATTATTTTTTCCACTCCGCCTCTATAAGGGTAACGTAATTTCATATGCACGTATTGGTTTATAAGGCCAAAATGATAGCAAAAAGATTTTCAGATTCACTATAGCCTCGCATGTCCACTGATTAATTATATCCAAAGAGATAATCAACATTTGACGACCAGAACTCCAAAGTACGACGATATTAACATAGCCTTGAAGTAAAAATTTACAAACTTACTCAAATTGCTCGACAGAGCTACTAGTTGTTTTTAAATAACGTCGCTAATGAAAATCAGTCTGTAAACACGAAATAAAATAAGTAAAACGTTCTACATGAGATCACAGAATCTTTTTATACTTAATATATCTTTAACTCATATTTCTTTTCAACTTCCTAGACGCTTACTGCCAAAATTTTATGCATAACTTTAAACCACATTGTTTCCTATTTTTTATAAAAAACTTCCAAGGCCCCAGTTGCACACGGTTGACTCTGTGCAAAAAATTATGATCTGTATTTTAATATCTACTATAGTCCAGATTTACTTGCTGCAAACAATAAATCCGCACATGGGGCACCAAAACTTAATTAGCAAAATAAGTTTTTAAAATGACTATGAAGCATACTTAATAGATCATTAAAAACTAGAATTAATACAAAGTTATATGTAAGTGAAGGAATAACGCTGAATTAAAAATGCTTGTCAAGAACCAGGTTTCTGATAAAATAATATTTACATTTGTAGTTTTCAAAACCGAATATTAAACAATATGAAATCCTTCAAATATATTGTTCTAAATAGTTAATTTCACACTAGGATTATGAATAGTCGTTTCCATAGAAATCTCAATGACTTCTATTAATAATAGGATTGAGTGTAACAATGGCTTCATATTATTTGAAAATTAATCACATTCATAGTGCGTCTTAGACTTGGACAACAATAAACACTATTTTCGAACAAGATGCGTCCTCGAGATAAAAGTTTTATTATACAGCGATTGAAGTACAAGAACTTTTATCTTAAATTCTCTAGTATAGATAAATGCAAAGTTTTAAATACATTTTCACACTCAATAACATCCAATAAATCTTTACTAACCTTATATTCTATTACCGAAACTAAAAAATATCTATCTGGATTATATTAGAAGAATTAAGATAATATATCTCGTTAAATCATCAACAAAAATATTAAGTCAATATTACTTTATTGTATTGCTAATGAAGAAGAAATACCCATATTGTTGAAGCAAAATGAACTAAAAATATATTTTTACAAATAAAACACAACAATAGTACGTAAAATTACCCTATATTTCTTAAAGACTTAATAGTTATAGTTTGGTTCAGGCGGGTGATGCGGGAAGGGGGGATGACCGAATGGTGGAGGTCGGTATTGGGGCCTGAAAGAGGGTGGAGGGGGCCTCCATGGTGGGGGCCTCGCGCCAGGAGGGGGTGGGGGGCCAAAGCCAGGGGGCCCGAAAGGTGGAGGAGGGAAATGATGAAACGGCGGCGGAGGAGGTGGAGGGCCTGGCGGTGGAGGGGGCCCAGGTGGGGGCATTGTTGAGGGAGGTGGTGGAGGGGCAGCCATTGGTAACGGAGGTCGCGATGTCAATGGAGGGCCAGGCGGCATCGGACTTGGAGTTGGTGGTGGGGGAGGAGCCATTAGCAGTGGACCCATTATAGGTGGCGCGTCCGCGAACAGTTGGTGAGGCCTGTCTGCATGCGATAAAGGATTCTGTGCTGCTAGTAACCTGTAAATAGAAAAACAGTGATCAATATCCATATTATATCTTCTTGTATCTGGTAATTTCCCAGCTTTAGCTAGGGTCTGCCTTACATGAATAGTTTTGGCTAATTGTTTTTACGACCGGCCGCCTGCCAGCCCTCCTTGGGAATTCATTAATCAGTGATGTCTAAATACTCTTAGAACGTACATATGACTTGGAAAAATCACATTGGTATTTGCCATGGCCAGGATCGAACCTGCGCCTTCGTGCATGAGAGGCGGGCCTTTTAATCACAAGGCCACTACTGACTCTCAATATTCATAGTAATATAAATAATTTGGTGCACAAGAAATTATTGGTGATTGTCTTTTATAATGACGACTTACGGCTCACACCCATTTTATTTATAGTTATATATAGAAACCTCCATATTATGTTATTCTCTTTATTTACCTTTCAGCAGCAGATCCATGCCTTTCACCCTTCACATCTTTCTTAAATGCATAAGAAACAGATATAGGACGGTTGCACAAGTACTGGTTATTCATAGCCTCTATGGCCGCATCGGAGGCTTCGAAGGATGCAAAGTTTATAAATGCAAACGCTTTCGAGTTACCAGTCTCAGGGTCTCTCATAACCTGTGAATTGATAATTAATGACAACCTTCTCCTTAAAAAAATGTTACTCAAATTGAATATAGAATTGATGGTGAAATATATTTAATTTAAGAAATAAATTATTTCTCTCAACATCAAATTTATTATAAATTAGGTGATAAGACATACCTTAGGTGTCTGCAATATGACACCAAATGCAGAAAATGTATCATACAATAGTTTTTCATCTACTTCAGGATCAAGATTACCAATGAACACATTAGCTCCCACATCAAGATTCTTCTGGTGTGCAGATGCTTTATTTACCCTTACCGGCTTTCCATATAGTTTTATCATATTCATGACCTGCAACAAATTACATATGTACATGTAAAAAATCGATATTCAATAGAAAAATATATATGTATATTAATGAGGGCAATAATTTAAAACTCCTTTGTTATAAATTTGCAATGGCAACAGCTTAACATATCCAAATCATTAACATTTTTCTGGCAAGAATAATAATAAAAATATTTCCTTATCTAAGAAAAAAATATTTAGTGAGACCAATTAATATTACAAATTAGAATACTTCTGTAAAACAATGCAATGGTGACATTTCTCATTAAATAATAAATCCTTTTCATACTATGTAAATTTTTGTAATCATTTATATTTACAATTGGCTAGTCTTTAAAATTATTTTGAACTGGAATTTATGTGGTTACTGAAAACTACAAATATTCATTAAGATTAAATACAGAACAGATATGTTATACAAAATTGCACATTTGAAATCGGACAGTTGAGAGCCTAATTGTGAGAAAGGTAATTTTTTTTTAATTTATACTTATTAGTTATTTCATTTTTACCTCATAATAAATAATGTTTTTTTAACTTGTATGTAGAGTTATATAAATCTATTAAAAAAAATCTTTGGCACTATGTTTAACATGTTTTTTTTACAAAAAATGTATAACATTTATTTGAGCCACAATAGCGATTTCGATAAAGATTAATTTAATTTCTATTAACATTAATTTACATTTATATAGATAAGGAAAAAAGTATAGTTTTTATAACTAACTAGTTTTTGCCCGCGACTTCGTCCGCATTAGTTTGGTCAAGAGTAATATATATACCAGGCGAACTCTATTCCGTCTTACAGGCCATAAATTATCAGGTTTTTCCTGTTTCAATCAAACAGAATGATTGACATATTAGTTAGTTGTCAAATCTAATGTCAAAAAAAATGTTTGTATAGGAAATAGAAAAGGGCTGTTTTTTGGGTTTTCCCGGCAATTATTCCAATTTTTCTCACCTTTTAAACTATCCCTTGACTTCCAGAAGTATTTCAAGACTAAAATTAGCCAAATCGGTTCAGCTGTTCTCGAGTTTTAGCGAGACTAAGGAACAGCAATCCATTTTTATATATATAGAAGATTATTACTGTCAAATAATTATAGGCTAGAAATATTACATTTTAAGTACCTTTATTGCATAATCGGCATCTTCTTCTCCCATGAATTCAACAAATCCATAACCTTGATGAGTTTGTGTCACTCGGTCCTTTGGCATATGAACATTCACTATAAAGAAAACAAATTTCATGATAAAGAAAAGTTGCTAATACATTCATCAATATTTGAATAACCTACAAAGGTTCAATTTCACACAAACAACAAGACACAATTATAATATAAGGACATCAGTAAATATCGGGGATACTTAGTATTAAATACAAAAATAAGATATATGTGATATTTTAATTCTTTTAAGGCCAATATATGACTAATATTTAAATAATGGTATATTTCCTAACACTTCATTTAGTCACTCTTAGTCCACTGCTGGACATAGGCCTCTCTCAATTCGCGCCACATTACCCGGTCCTCCGCCTTTCGCAACCAGTCCTCTCCAGCGAGCTTAACACATAGATTAAAATTTTATTTACTTACCTACTGGTCCAGCTTGAACAAATAGTTCCCAAAGCAGACTTTCTGTGACTCTGTCGTCCAAACCACCAACGTAAATCGTTGCATCTGTAACATCATTGATATTACTAATAATCTTAGAGAAATGGCGATGACAACTAAGCTGGCAGTAAATAAATAAACTATTAACACAAAAATACAGAAAAGAGCACAAAATTTATTTTAAATAGTTTTGAGCGGCGCGAACGAAACATAACCTTTTCATTACTTTGGTTTTTATACATTTTTAAGTTTAAGATAAAACAATACCTTGATTTCTTTCTGCAATTGGTCCTGCAGCCATCGTGGTTTACAAATTAAGCTTAAAAAGTATAGAAAATAATCATATTTTTTAACCAAGTATGACGCTAACCACTAACGCTTGTTTGACGTTACGGAATGACATATGACATCAACGAGAATTTGACACGTATTGGAAAGCATCTGGCAGGCTTAATTCATTATACATAGTTTATAATCGGGAAAAAAATAATAATTACTTATAACTATGTATTTTTCCCATCTATATGTAATGTTTTTTTTTTATTAAAGGCTTGAAATTGATCCAAAACAACAAATTAATCTTCAAAATTACTACATTCTATCCAAATATTTTGTTTAAAATTGTTAAACTGTTAAACAGAAACATAATACTATAGAGGAATATTTCGAAATGAGTTAAAGAAATAAATTTTATCGTATATATGTGTGTGTAATTAGAATTTTACAAAAACGAAAATTAGCGGAAAATATGAAATTTTTTAGTCTGTATGAGTAATGACAATATACATTTCAGACTTTATTATGGTTTTGAAATCATTCTTTTAATGTTTCTCTAAAAGTAATAAAAAAATATGTAGTATGTGTTATAATTTAACTAAATGATTTTAATTTTTTTTATTAATAATGTAGAATTTGATCACTTCGGGTAAAGAAAGAGGAGTAAAGTGTTATGTTGTTTTGTCATCTCTTTCTTTCGCAAGGCACTTGCACACGGAATACTGATTATATAGTATCTATATCAGTAATACAGAACTTGTCCAGCTAGACTAAAGACGTACCGCTTCTTTTATAGTTTGTTTATTTTTTTTATTGTCATTATTATAATTTATTATTATTACACATTTATTTACTTTAAAAAAAGAAAGTAATTTTCTTTAAACTTAAAGGAGATCAAATCAAATAAAATGCAGAGTGCCTCCGATATTATTTCTTCCTTGTTATGGTTCACATACGATTCATATTCAAATGAAGAAAACGATTCACAAATAATCGAGCAGTTTGTTCAAACTGTGGAAGATTTTAGTTCTCAGTATGGAAGCGAAATAAGTGTATCATATACCGCATTTAATTTAAGAGGCCCACCATCTAACTTTCCAGATTATGGAGATTATCCGCAAGCCTTTGTTATGGTAATATTTTTTTTTATTATATATTTTTACAATTGTAGTATCGAATTAAGTCCGCATTCCTAAGACATTTTCTTTAATAGACTGTAACCATATATAAAAAGTAAAATTTTATTGTAATTAGTAATTAATACGTAGTGTTTGTTTATTTTATCATATACAGCGTACCTATGGAACTTGGTGGGATGAAGCACCATCATTTCAAAAGGATTACATGCCCCAAAACAGTAGTGCAATACCAAGTCAGGATTTTGTGGGTATGTGGATATTTTAATATTATATTTTTAAATATTAATCCTGTTAAACTATTTTATATCTTTAATACTACTTGAATATCTTTTTTTTTCTGCTTACTATTCACTAATAATACTTATGTTTACACAGAAGTGTCGTTTGAAAGAGCAGTGTTTCCATTAGAGGTGGCAGTGTTTGAGACATACAATCCTGGTGCGTTAGTCAGGATTTGGGCACTCGGGCATGCTTCATGGATTCTGTTGTGGGAAGGAGAGCCAGAATATGTAGGCGATACTCCAAGGATATTCAGCCCACCAATACGACAAATAAATGTTCCCACAAGGTGTGTGCAAATTTGTTTATATGATATAATATATATTAATATTTGTTTATGTATCTATATATAAGTATACATTTTCTTTGGACACTTAAACCCACTTAAAACCAAGTAGAAATCACATAGCAATGGTTGCCTTTTGTTCTTCACTCTTTTCTTCTTTAATATTCTGAACCTAAATTCACCTATTGTATTATTGTATTGTTCTATTCTATCCCATTCAAGGTAAAATAATATCTATGATATATATTACAAAAATTAACAATATTATTGTATTCTGTTATATAAAATAAAGATGTTTTATTTAACTTTCTATCAAGTATAATCACTTTATATTTTAGTCGAAAATAAAAAAATATATATTATTTATTAATTTATTATACAAAATATATTTTATTAAAGTATATTAATATGAATTGTCACAGGATACTCAGATTAGAATTCAATCACCGTCTCCTGCCTTACTATACAGAACTTGATGCCGTTCTTCTTAGAGGGAGAGAACCCCCAAATATGGGCAAAATAAAAAATAATTTCTCATATTCCACTCTATTCAAGAAGAGCCAGCCGGTTGTTGAGAAAGGTTAGTACATAATATGTATATTGATGGCTCCTATGTACAATGTACATATAAGGGCAAATGTGCAAAATATAAATTTTTCAGTTGTGATGTTTTATATTTGATTTCAATGTATCTAGTACATGCAACAACTGGTGCTTTTGAAACTTTTCATAGTAACTATGAAATACATCTATGCAACTATGACCTAAATTGATAAAGTTTTTTGTGAACCTACTAGTTTTATATTTATAATAACTATATTAAAGAAAAAAAAAATGGAATTGGCTAAATTGCTACATTGACCCCTACACATAGAAGACATCAATATATACTTTACTTACTAAAATACAAAGACAATATAAGCACTTGAATAATTTTTCATACATACTAAATAGTTCTTAATATTACTTCCAGATTTCACATAGGTTTAGATTATGTAGTCTTAACTGTACACTGTTATCATAATTCAAATTTACCTAGATAAGGCAGATATTTAGATTTACAATGTCCTACTTGCAGTGGTGTAAATAATATCTTCCTATTCCCAACTGGTCTACTTGTTTACTAGCATGTGACGTCATATGCTTAGCTATTAATAAAATGTCACGTGACTCACGTGTTAATGAGTGTGAGATAAGATAATGATACAATTCTATTATTAGTTTTTACAATGATATGGACTATCATGATGCATATATAATAATAATACGATTTTTGTATGGTTATTCTTATTCTATACTGGCTGACCCGGCAAACGTTCTTTTGCCATATAAAAAATTAGGGTTGGTGATAAAAATGTAAAAATTTTGGGTTTTATGAATTTTCTAATGCTATATTTTAAAAAACAAAAATTTTCGTCGGAAAATTAAAAAAAATTAAGGATGAACAACACTAACGACTTAGGGGTATGTAAAATAGATATTGGCCGATTCTCAGACCTACTACATGTGATGACAAAATTTCATCAAAATCGGTCCAGCCGTGTCGGAGGAGTTCTCTGCCTAACACCGTGTCACGAGAATTTTATATATAAATATTTTGTATCTTATATAAGTTGTACTTATTTTTTTAAAGCCTTACCAAGTCAGTTTAATTGAATACCTTGGCCGTGACTGCTTCAAAGATTGCGCAAATCTCGTTTAATTGTTTATTTGTTTTCCACGGAACTTGAGAAGTTGCTTAACAATTTCGCCACGATTCTTCTGTTTAGTATCCTCTGTTTGGCTGTATTCTAATTTTATAAAGGTTTTAAAAGAAATAAGTTTTTCACATCCTAAATTTTTGTTTATATAAGTTATTCACTTTCAGTATTTATAAAAATGGGATAGAATTTTACTATATTGTTCAATTAAATTAGCATTTATCCATAGTTCTTATAATCATACCTACTTTAATACCATACTATAAAATTTAAACTTATCGTTATTTATTGATAATAATTAATAAAATAAAATAATTCATTAATATAATTTTATTTATATGTAACTATTATATGTTAAAGGTCATTTTTTTGAATTACTGAGTGATATTTTTACTTCTAGGTATGCTTCTTAATAAAGTCATTGCATCAAATCTACACGAAGACATAGTGCAGCCGACGGTTTTGTCTTCAGATAAATTGATAGACAGAGGACCACCATTAGGAGATTTTCAGAGACTCCCTGTAAGTACATATATAGAAAATTATCATTACTTAATTAATATCGATAAATAATCGATTTATTTATTTAACAGTAATTATCTAATTAATTATTATTGTAATTATTAATCAAATTTATCACAATCGTATTCGTCACTTAAGCAAATATTAGATTTATTAGTCTACGAAATTAGATAAGTGGGTAATTATGTACAGCAAATAGAATTGCTATTTGCTAGTATTTTTGGTTATTTAGTATTTACCCGATTTACAAAATACTTGAACTACATAATTATATTGTCCTTGTATGTATTATGCCTCTGTAATCTTAAAAATTAAGACATACTGTGCTCTACAATCTTCTTCTTCTTCCTGGCAATTTCCCACCTTTAGCCAGGATCTGCCTTACATGTTGTGAATAGTTTTGGCTAATTGTTTTTACGACCGGCCGCCTGCCTGACATCAACCCTCTCATGTATGACTCGGAAAAATCACATTGGTACTTGCCAGGATCGAACCCGCGCCCTCATGCATGAGAGGAGGGCCTTATATATATATATGTATATTTCGCATAGAAACAGTAAAGTACATTAATTATGTTATGACAGTTAAAATGATAGCGGAAATTCTCAAGTTTATAAATAGTTTTAGTTCACAGTCAATGTTGTAAGGTTAATGTTACAGTTACAACACAACTTGACATTTGACTCAACTTCATATATACAGGGTGACTGGTGAATTACTATCGATATTTGAGGACGAGATATTTGACGATCATATATGACAAAATAAAAATTAATATAACATAAATATTAATAAACTTCTAAGTAAAGTTAACCAAAAGTTATGTAATTAATTACGCATCGTGTGAACACCCTACAGATTAGGTATACACACACACACACACACGCGTGCGGCGGCGTGGTGTTGTATCAGCACGCCGCCGCACGCGTCCACACTTGGAACACTTGGAACCTGTCCACACTTTATTTATTTATACGGAAATTTGGTCAAAAATTAAGTAACTATTTTTTTTACATAATTCGAATGAGAATCATGTACCGAGTATTCTCCTTAAATATTGATAGTAATTCACCAGTCACCCTGTATAAGAATATAGGATGTTTCTTTAGTAGACTTAGATTTTTAATAATATTCGACCCTTGATAAAATATGGACGGTATAATAGGGATGTTGAATATTTTATCATTGCTTTTATTTTTATATTAACGTTTTTTTTTCATAAAAATATATTTTTTATTTAGAAATATTAGTATCTTAGATGACTAAATATACTAAATAGAATAAGTTCGATTTTTCCCGCTTAAACACTGTACCAGTCGTTATGTGATTGACAGACGTGTCAATAGCCGCAATACATTAATTGCGACTCATGAATGGAATCTCTTTTTATACGTGGTCATATTTTTATTTATTTACAAACAAAATAAATACAACGTTTTACAAACAGTGCAACAGCAAACCATTTTTAAATGAAGGCTTGCTTGGGGGTTGGTGACGTCATAAAAATAGGTTCAACTACGTGAAAGATTATAAATGCGTCATTTTAAATAATTAAAAATTATATAAATGATATTTGCGATATACTTAGAACACAAACTGTCATTAAATTAATATTGAACATTAATTTTTATTCCTTTTATCTTCAATAGTAGGTATATATATTTAATTTGTTACATATATTTGAAACTATTTTCTTAGTTCAATGTCAAAATAGAATTCATTTTGAAAATTTGAATTTGTCTTCATTTTCAACGATAAAATTTTTATCAATTATATATACTAGATTTTTCCCGCGACGTATTAAGCCTTAATCTCGGAATTAGTCATAAATATAGCTGACCGAGCGAACTCTATTCCACCCTTTTTTTTGTTTTTTTTTTTTTTTTTTTTTTTAACGAGGAGAATCTTTCAAAGACTTCCCGCCGCGGGGGAAAACACGGCGGGGGCGTGTGGGATTTCCACCCACTAAACTCCTCGGCGTTCTCTGCGCTGTGCGTAGGCTAGTGAGCGGGAACGGCAAGCCATACTTCCGCTCACTACGCACGAGTCCCATGGACTCCGTCTTCGGCAGGGGTCACAGTGGCTTCACCACACTTCCCCTCCGACTCCAGAGCAGCGTGCCGGGAACGCCAAGCACGCCACTCTCACTCCAGCCTATGTTGCCCGGACGCCGGTTCCCCACCAACGCCCGGAGGCTCCTCTCACTGGGGAGGCATTTGGCGAGCGTAGGCCCGCTGCCTTCTACCCAGCCTTCGTCGACGCAACTCTATTCCACCCTAGAGACCATAAATTACCAGATATTGGAATTTATTAAATTTTCTTTTGCGATTGAAAAATTAAATATCCTATTTCCGTCTCCTGGTACTGAGCAATCTCTCTGCCAATTTTTATTCATATCCCTACATAATTTGTTGAATTATAAATAATGTAACTAACAGTACTTTACATATCTTCTTCTTCTATATATATATAAAAATGGATTGCTGTTCCTTAGTCGCGCTAAAACTCGAGAACGGCTGAACCGATTTGGCTAATTTTAGTCTTGAAATACTCCTGGAAGTCCAGGGATGGTTTAAAAGGTGAGAAAAATTGGAATAATTGCCGGGAAAACCCTAAAAACAGCCCTTTTCTATTTCCCATACAAACGTTTTTTTTGACATTAGATTTGACAACTAACTAATATGTCAATCATTCTGTTTGATTGAAACAGGAAAAACCTGATTATTTATGGCCCCTTAGACGGAATAGAGTTCGCCTGGTCAGCTATATCTACATATATTACTCTTGACCAAACTAACGCGGACGAAGTCGCGGGCAAAAACTAGTTTTATATATAATTAAAAAAGAAGTTCAAAAATTATGTTGAGGGACAACAACTACAAGAGATATCCCAAATTATATTTCCAGAGATATTTATGACTGAAGTCCCTTATTAAATGTATATTGTATTTCAGGATGAAACTATATTATCAGTGATGAAATATTTGGACATGCAGTCATTATGTAGATGTGCTCAAGTCAATACACATTTCAAAAGGCTAGCATCTGATGCCATATTGTATAGAAGTATTGATCTTAGACCATACTGGCATTGTGTGAGATCTCAGGTATGTGAACTATACATAATAAAAAATACTCATACATTACTATCTCATGTACAGCATGTACAGCATGTATGTAAGCTAAATTTTATAAGAAAATTTTATTAATTTATTTTCATTAAAAGTCTTTTAACATTTATATGTAGTAAGGAATACTTAGCATTCAAGTATAGTATTGAATACAAGGAGTATTTAATATTTAATAGTTGGATCCAAGCCATTCCCTTCACCTATTAGTCATTTTAACTACATATTAACAAACAATCGCAAAAAATCTGCAATTTTTCTTTTACATTATTTCTAATAAAAGAAATATCCAATTAAATTACTAGCACATTATTGTTAGAACATTAATCGATTTTTATGACCTTCAGTTTTTAATTGGTTTATTGAAATTTTCTTATACAAGAAATATATGTTTTTTTGAGATTTATGAGAATATTTTTTTAATTTAATTAGTTTATTTAAATATTAAGTTTTATTTAGTATGTTATAAATATATTTTACAGGTGCTCGTGAATCTATCAATGAAATGTAAATTCCTAAAGAAATTGGATCTTTCATGGTGCGGCAGTCATTGCATGATACAGCCCCATTATGTTGTTAAGTTAGTATTCAATTATACGGAAGTTATAATTTTTTTTATTAAATTCTATAATTGTATTGTTTCGTGTGAATATTATTCCGTTTTAATATTTATATGTATATTTTCATTTTATGACGCATCAAGTGTGTTTGATGAATTATGGAATTAAAAAATATCGATCATTATATGTTAGCAATGATATTATTGTTATTTTGATTGTTAAACTGATATATAATATACACGCATTATATATATATATGAATATTTCATTTCCAGCTTCTTAAAATACAGCGGTTCTGAATTAACACATCTGAGGATGAATTGTTGTAAATTTGTTGACAACAGCGTACTAAGAGCTATTGTTGACACTTCATTTAATTTACAAGGTAAGGAAATACATTTTATATTTGTTTTTATCATGTTCTATAGCTTTTGTGATTTTTTCCTGTTTAAATAAAAAAATCGTTTACAAAATCCTACTAAAAACTACTGTTGATGTTATAAAGAACGATATTTTACGTTTTGTGTGATAAAAAAATCAAATTGTATAGTTTTTATGTAAAGTATTAAACACTTCCTGTATAGATGTCATTAAAATTACTATTTGAAGAAACAAACGTACCCAATCCTTGGTTTGTTAAATGTTATTTATTGAAAAAAAAACAACATCAAATCTTTATCAATTGTTCTCAGAGTGCATAAAAAAATTCAATCAATTCATAATTCAAAAATATATATATGTATTTGTACAATTAATACTTATAAAATAAATGATAATTTTTATTATTAAAATTATTGATTATTAAACGAAATTATGTATTAATATATCTTATTTACATTATTTTTCAGAACTATGTCTGCGTTCGGTGGTAACATGTTCTGAATGGTCCTGTTTGTCTTCACTCACTAAGTTAAAGCGACTCGATCTATACAGAACTCATATAACTACATCGGCTGCTGTCTCCATTGTATGGGCAAATCCATCTCTAGAGCATCTTAACGTTGGTATGTTACCTCATACTTCTTTCTAATTTTGACAACATTTGTCTATAGTATATAATTATAGATTTTTAATCTGTCAATAGTTTTCAAATAAAAAAAAATGTATTCTCATGATTTTAATTAATATTTGTTATCTGTTCGACTTAACTGGATTCAAATGGTAGATTTTACTTTTATTACTTAACTTAACTATATTATGGTACATTTTTTTAATAGCAGATTATAATAAGCTCTCTGGAATCCCAAAGAAACCAATCGCCCATCATTTCTTTTCTAACCATACTGTTTCTCTTTAAGTCTTCATATATGTATATTAATCAGAATAATGTAGTCACTTTCTGTACAAATTTGTCCATAGACATGCAAAAAAAAATCTATCACTCTTTAACCCTCTTTCCCCATACTAACCGAATAGCCAGATAATTATTAGTATTCTATTATATTCTACATAGTCGGTCTCTCTAAATGTATTTAACTCTTCAAGTTATTGTAAAATTTTCCTACCTTTAATCATATTCTACATAGCCGATCTCTCTAAATATATTTAACTCTTCAGGTTCCTGTAAAATGATATCAGCTATGGATGAAGTGGCGCTAGCTCTTGGTGCGAACTGTCCTGACCTTATGTCAGTGGATTTTTGGAAGTCCTACTCATTAACCGCTGTTGGTATTCGAGCTTTGGGTAACTGTAAGAAGTTACAGGAATTGGATGTTGGATGGTGGTATGTATTTAAATTAAACTAATATTTTTCGGATGTACTGTGTACGCGACTTTATTTTTGATAAAAACTTCATCTTCTCCACATTTAGGCTATGTTTTAGCAACCCTGGTCACGGGTAGATGTTTCAGATCTCATTATGGTGGTAAGATTATATTAGAAAACTAGAAGACCCGGCGAACTTCGTATCGCCCTATAATCAAAAAATATCTGTTACGTTTTTTTATTTGTATTTTTGGAGTTTATCTATTAAAGCCATAAATCTCCGTGTTTTGAAGTGCGACAGAATGATTGACATATTAGTTAGTTGTCAAATCTAATGTAAAAAAAAGCGTTTGTATCAACAACTGCTAATAAATTAAAAATTAATTAAAAAAACATTGTCCAGCGGACAAAAATGTGAAACTAAACCATTCTCAGATCACCTTGAACACACATAAAAAATTTCATCCAAATCGGTCCAGTTGTTTGAGAGAAGTTCAGTGACATACACACTCACAGAAGAATTATATTGCCGAATTTTGCTTAACTTGACTTATTAGGATTTTTGATTTACTATGCTTAATTTTAAAAATGGCAAGTTATAAAAAAGTATTATTGTTTTGTAACCGAAGACCTTAAAATGTGAGAGTACTAAAAAAATCTAAAGAATACAGGAATTTCGTTACTCATTTTCAATAGTTAAATTTTTGTTTATTTTGACAAAAAACTGAATAAAAAGTTGAAAATATACTTAATCTATTTATAGATATGTTTAAAGCCGATAAGTATGTTAATAAACACTAATAAAGAGATAACATAAGTTGTTTACATAGCAATTTACGTGACATTGATTTCTGAAATAAATGTTATAAATAAATACAGTAAATAAATGTATTATATTAAAAGTTTTATATACAATTTAAAAAGCGACATTACATATTACTAAACCGTTACAATGTACGTTTCTGTAACTATAATGTAAAAATAAAATATGTTAGATAATACATATAAAGATTCCTGCATATAAAAGATTAAAAGATGAATGACAATGTTTGCTTTCATTACATACTTATCTTCTTCTTCCTGCCAATTTCCCAGCTTTAGTCAGGGTCTGCCGATTATATACTTATATACATACAAATCTATCCTCATGTATGTCTATTTATAACTATATTTTATTATTTATAGCCTACAAGCTAGCAGCTCAGGCGAATGGTTGTCATCTCTTACCGGTGGTGATCTGAGAAAGTTGTTCCTGGGAGCTCTCCGTGGTATATGTGATAGAGATCTTAGAGTGTTACTGCCAAAAGCTACTAAACTGGCCCAGTTAGACTTACTAGGAGTCAGGGCTGTCACTCCGGATATATGCTCAGAGTAAGTATTTGTGCGTCTGCCTCCAGACCAGACATATTTTTATATTCGCTAATATTAATCGTTGTGATGATAGAGCTTACGGTGCCTTGGGAAACCAACATCCCCAAAGATCATGCCATCAAGGTCAATAAATATTACGAGCTCACTAACGAACTAACTCGAAATAGGTATAACAGCTAAATCTCTCTATAACCTACTAAAAGACTTACTTGGCCGAGTCCAGAACTCGCATTAATTCATTCGCCTTCAGTCGAAGGCAGCCCTAGTAGGTTCTTTTCAAATTTGGTTAGGTAGGGAGAGGAGCTCTGACAGTGGAGGTGAGCGTATAATGCGCGTTAGATAGGGGCCCCTTAAACCTACACCTGGGTCGCAAGTCCCAGGCACAGTTGAAGCTCCTCTCCTTACAACGATAGACCCGCACCCGCACGGTGAATCCATTGAATGCTAAGAGGTTTCGTCTTCTGTATTCTAAACTACTTTAATTTTTTCTCTTCTTGGACATACCTTAAAGATTTCATTCTATGTAAACAATTCCTATGAATATTATCTGTTATTAAAAGGTTACATATATTTTGAAACTATATATTTAATTTCATAAAAATAATACAGGGTAGTGATTGAATTATTTTCATTTTAAAGGTCATTATTTCACACTTGGTAATGTTGCTATAGATGATAACTATTAAAATTTTTAATAATTCCTTCAGTTAATATTAAATATAAAAAAATACTTTAAAATCTACTGTTATATAGTCATGGACCTCAGTGATGTAGATTCAGAATTTTTTATCTATATTTTTAATTTATATATTTTTTTATACCATGTTAATAATTTCATTTCTTTCACTTACAGCATTTTAGCGGAATGTCGCGAACTTCGCCTACTAGATGTTAGCTTCTGTGATCAAATACAAGAATCTCAGGTATAAAATCTTCTTATCTACTGTCATTAATAATAGAGTTCGTCAGCTATACATTATATACATTTTTAATTCAAAAACTAGCGCAAATGAAGTCTCTGGCAAAAATTTGTATATATAAAAGATATATAAATGTATTATTTATGTTTTCAACCTTATATAATCTAATGATCACTTTTGTTAATTATATTACATAAAAAATATATGCATGTTGCAAGAAAAATTAAATTCATTAAAATCTTGTAAAGTTACTTCTTCAGAAATTACAGTTTAACTGTTATTTATGACATTCTTTGTTAGATTTGAATGGATAATAACGGGTGTTTTTTTTAGAGGTATAGAACTTTGAAATAAAATAAAACAAAATTGATTTCTTTTATTGATATGAAATATAATATTTTGAAAAGATAATATTCTTTCATTATAATTTAAATAAGATTTCAGGCATATGACCTCCACGACTGGCTCGTACGTAGTTTAATCTGGAGGTCCAATTTTCAACGACTTTTTTAAATATTCGTGACTGTATATCGGCAATAACGCAACGAATGTTATTCTCCAAGTGATCAACGGCTTCGGGCTTATCAACGTAAACTAACGACTTTACATATCCCCACAGAAAATAATCAAGCGGCGTTAAATCGCATGATCTTGGGGGCCAATTCTCGAGTCCGAAACATGAAATTATGCGGTTACCAAATGTTTCTCTTAATAAATCAATTGTGGCACGAGCTGTATGACATGTTGCACCGTCTTGTTGAAACCAGAACTCCTGAACATTATGGTTGTTTAATTGATGAACGAAATAGTCACTAATCATCGCTCTGTAGCGGTCACCATTGACTGTAACGTTCTGGCCAGCATCGTTTCTAAAGAAGTACGGACCAATTATTCGGCGGATAGACTGATTCGGGTCTCCTTCTACGCTACGCTCCACAGCAGAAATAACTTCTTCTGTACGCACTGTAGGACATCTCTGTGGATGCGTATTACCATTTAGAGTAAATGTAGTGCGAAAACGTTCCATTGTTAAAATTAATTATTCTGATGGACGATTATGTGGACCTTAAAATGGACGTAGTGCGCGATACGTATTTCGAACAGAGCCATGATTTTCAAAATAAATTTGCACAATTTGGAGGCGGTGTTCAGGCGTTAGTCTATTCATGATGAATTGCCAAACCAAATTAAACACAAATCACTGGACAGCTATCAAAATAACTGCCAGTTAAAAAAGTATTGGCAACTTAAAGTTGTATATCTCTAAAAAAAACACCCTTATATCATCCTTTATCATATACAATATATTATTCTAGGTATTGGAGTGGCGCAAACAGTATCCCCACGTCAGTATAAAGAGATCATTTCAATCAGCAAATCTGACAACAGCTCCGAACGCATTATTCCTAGCACCCAGTTTGGAATAACTATTTTAATCAGTGTTGCCAGAAAAAAATTAACAATACCCGACGGTGACGGTTCGATTAAACCAAAAATAGCTACAAAAATATTTATATGGTTATAATCAAGAATTTGCACCGTCAAATACATACTATGAATGCCATATATACAAAATTGTAATACGCATGTTCGTGGTAACATACCAAGTATAGTATAATAATAATTTCAATGATATTTAAAATATGAAATTTTAAAAAAATTGTTTGTGATCTATAAGGAAATATTTTTTCTTTAACTAAAACATCTAATTAAATTTGGCCAGTCCTAAATAGACTTAGCCAGTTGACAGTAAGTAGACGAATGTGGCAACACTATTGTTCAATCATAATTTGACTGAAGCTGACAATAGTCGCTCATCACAGATTATAAATACGTAAAATTAACTTGACTTAACACAGGTTATATAATACTTATATAAATAATAAGTTGACCTTTTTGTTTCTTATTTCAATTGTTTGTTATAAAATGTTTGTAGTTTTTTGGTTTCGAATCCAAAATTTACTAGTTAAATGTGTTCTATCCGTCAATTAGATAACAATCTCGATTACAATAAGACTGAAGTAATATATGTTTAAGGTTCCTTTATAAGAAATGAATTATCACAAGAATAACTAGAAGTCATATTTTTGTTTCATATACTTATTAAATGAATAATAATATTTTTTTTGTTCATTTTTTGATTAATTTCTGATAACTATGATTTATTTGAAATTTTGACTGAATAGAGGATACTGATATTTTAAAAATGGAAAATATTTTTTTTGGTAATTCTTAGATTAATGTATTTTTGTATAATATAAGGACATAATTGTTGTTTTGTACTTAAGTGTTGTCTTAATTCAATGTAAATCTATATTATATTGCTTTTAAGTTACTTACATAACCATTTATAACTATGTAATATATATATGCTTTAATGTAATACTACTGATTTGCTTATCAGTTTTCATACTCTATTATTGCTATTAATACATTAGTCACTTAGTAATATTACCACAAGTTTGTCAGTCATACAAAATCCGTCAGTTTTTCATTAAAATAACTTTCACAGGATAGTATCATCTATATGAATGTAATTGACAACTGTATTTATATTTTTTGACAGTGTAAACTCATAGTGAAGATACTATTTAAAAGTTTATTTATATGTACTATATATGACCAAATTTACATGTATGCATATTGTTTTGTGTAATTTTTCAGTATGTTTTGTGATATACCTGTATTTTAATTTAAATATATTTCTCTATATCCAAACGTGTAGACGTTTTTAAGGATAACTTTTTAAGGGCCACAGAAATATAGATTTTTTTTTTGTTTTATTAGTTTCTTGTTTCAAGAATATAGTTATTTTTTTGGCAATATTTTTTTGTTTAATAAAAACGTTTTATTTGTTTAAACCTATAAGGCTGCATATTTTACAGAGCTTTATTATTGAATCTAATTCATTTGTATGTTAAGACAGCTATATGTATAGTAAGAAATATTTATTATTTTTGGTTATAATTTTAAAGAAACTGTTCATATTATAAAGTACATATTAATTCAGTCTCAGAGTCTGATCTGTCAATTCGTTGTCTATTAGTCATAATATAAGATATTAATGTTTCTATCTATTTTAAATTTACAAAAAATGTGATTAAAAATTTGCATTGCATAATACTTATTGTTTTATTTTTATATTTACCTTTACATTTTCTTCTTGTTCCTGGCAATTTCCCAGCTTCAGCCAGGGTCTGCCATATATGTTGTAAATAGTTTTTGGCTAATTGTTTTTAGTTCTTCCGCCTGCCTAACATCAATCCTCTTTGGGACTGCAATACATAACGTATATATAATTTTTGATATGGTAATATTAACGTAAGTGTCAACGAAGCACTGCCAAGCAAGTACTTAGCAGTCAGCTGTTATAATGCTTTTAATAATATACTTTTAAAATTAATTCATACCTCACGAAAGGCGATGTTACATTTCATTTTTATTTGTATTTCTCTTAACGAGACATCGTACCAAAATAAAAAAAATATTCCTTAGCACAGATTATAACAATTATTATTACAATACAAATTTTTTTATATTTTTCTGGATCTTAATTCTGTTAACAAAAGGAGGGATAGGTTTCTAGTTCAGAGTTTACTATTTTTAAGAATAAAAATAATTTAAATGGATCTTATATGTATATTTATACATCAGAGTTGAAGTTGGAAATAAAATTTAAAACTTAGGTACATAAGTATACAAACATTGCCTTCGCGCTGCTTTGACTACGGTCATAGGGAGGGACCTCTCGTTGCCGGCTATAATCTCGGCTATGGTCGGCAGCGAGGAGGCATGGGAGGCGGTGGCCGCTTTTGCCGAAGCGGTCATCAGCGCGAAGGAGGCAGCGGAGCGGGCCAGGGAGAGCAACCCGGAGGCCCCTGCCCTCCGTCGTCGGCGAATTGGTCGCCGGCGCCGAGCCTATCTGGCCTCTTTACAGCCATAGGTTAAGCGCCGGGCGACGTGATCCTGGGTGGCAGACGGGGACTTCTGTCGCCCGTTGATAGGATCAGTGCGGTGCTAGCCCCTCTTGTTCCGGGGGCGGCTCGCGGTGGTGGTCTGCGGGGGGATTTGTCCCCCCTAGTTCGAGGTCCGGAGTGGACAAGCGCCGGCAGGGTCGCGAGGCAAGCTCGTGATATACCGTGGCCCTGCCTAGGTGGCGTGGTTGAGGAACACCCAGGGGTTTTAGTGGGTCGAAACCCCACATAACCCGGTCAAGTCCCCGCTTGGCCGGGTATCTGTGAACAGATTTCCCCTGGGAAAACAAAAAAAAAAAAAAAAAAAAAGTATACAAACATTAATTTATAAGAATTTTAATTAAAATAATTTTAAATTTAGATTTCAATATAAAAATAAGCTTTATTTAAGAGACGAACCATCAAAATAACATACATTATTTATAGCAAGCTGAACTAAATAAAATAATCTTCAACTTAAATTAAAAGCGATTCTGATTGCCTAATAAATTTGTTGGGGTCATTTGAAAAGAAACAATCGTTCACATATTAATTATATATACGTATGAAATGAAATAATAACTCGTAAACATCTCACACTATCTATAACAATAATATTTATTGTTTAGATAAGAAAGTAACAAGAACCAGTACTAAATGTGAAACCTCGTTAAACGCTTATAAATAATATCTACTTTGTGATTTTAAATTTGGCGTCGTGCCTATATTTGAATTAATAGAAATGAATCGTGTTCTGTTTCTTTTGCTTATAAATTTATCTGGTGGTGTATGTATTAAGACAAATCTTCTATCAAATAGAACAACAATAGTGCATCTATTTGAATGGAAATGGCGTGACATTGCGGAGGAGTGTGAAAGATTTTTAGCCCCCAAGGGTTTTGGTGCTGTGCAGGTATTCATTTATCAAATGGAAATATGATATAATTTTTTAACGATATCATTGAAATCACTTTAAGTAAAAATAATACTTATCTTCAGTATATCAGTCCGAAACGTTATATATAATATATTATGTATATTTATTACACTCCAATCACTATTACCAATCATTGCTTATCACATATATTAATTTGAAAAATATTTACCAGATAATAATCTATGTTAACATTTTTTGTGTTACGAACATAATAACGATAAGACAAATCATTTCATTTATACGAAACGTTTAATATCAGTAAATATTTTAGATTTCACCGCCGTCAGAAAATTTGATCATAAAAACCCAAAATGATCTAAGACCCTGGTACGAAAGATATCAAGTGATGTCGTATAATTTGGAAACACGTTCCGGCAACCAAGATGACTTCTTAAACATGACAAAGAGGTGTAACAAAGTTGGTGTTAGGTGAGAAATAATTTGTAATATCAAATAATACATAGATGGCACCACTGATCAAAACAAAATATACTAAAAGATATATCAATTACCAAGATGTGATTCGCATGTAACGAGATATTAATAGAAACTGTGCTCGTAATACAGATTTCTATTTTGGATAAGAAGTTCTCTTTGTGTAATTGTAACATAAATATTCAATAGCTACAAAATAAAATTGAATACAAATCATTTTGCTGGATATCTTTAGAAATCAAGTATATAAAGTCGCGTTAAGAATGATACTAAGAAACAAGTAAAATGTAAAATGCCGTAGAAACGGATCTTATTGTGATTGATTTCTGTTCAACCTGTTCACAATGTCAGTTCTTATAGAGATTAATATTCTCATAGTATATTGCACCTTATACAAAACTGGATTGGTATATAACTAGTGTCAAAAGATTGTGTTTTTTAATTTTTATAAAAGTCTAGATATAATTATTGAAATAATAAATAATTTCCTATAATATTGGGAATTAATAAATATCAAGACAATTTTGTATGTACATTCGAGAGGGAAAAGGGTCATATTTTGAAATCCCTAGAGTATAAGCGTTTCACGCGTGAAAAGGTCCTTATAACTTTTTCAGAAGACATCCTTGAGAAATTATTTTTAAGAATATTGGTGACTTTTTTCAATGAAATTACATAAAAAAATTTGTATGAAAAAGAATATACTCGTATCTATGCAACGTGAAAGATGATTCTAGAATATAAATTATTAATTCACATTAAGATTTTGCATTGATACGTGTGATATAAATAAAATTATCTAAGATAGTTATCTTATGTTTTACGATTAAAGTGCGGCTAATGACCGAGTACCTACTGATTTAATATATTTTTATCACTTCCTTTTATTAAATACTCCCTTATAGTGTTACTATCACGGACTTACCGCTACTCACCACTGTTTCCGAATTTAAGTGATCTCTTTCAACTTTTTATATTTTTATGATAGAATATTCTTTTAGGTCTTACTTAAATTAATGTATTGTAAATAGTTAATATATAAACAAAGTTGTAATGGTTTCATGTTTTACATGCTACTGCAGCTGAATTGCGTTGATAATTACGACGTAGGCAAATTAATTAGCTGAACACAAACAGTGTATATATTGATGTTTGTATTATCATGAATAATTATACGGATTTGTATTAATGTGTTGTAATCATTGAATAAATACGCTTTCTATTAATGTCGTAAGCTCACTCATGATCGATTTTATTTGCTAAGCCTATGACTAATGCTGGTTATCAAACAATATTTCAAGTTTTAAGGATGGTGGATTAAACTTGTTTGTGTTTTTGTATATATTCTACTTCCTAAAGACTATTATATTATTAAATTCAATTAAGGATACCTATCCATACAAATAAATTTTCATTAATTCCATATCTTTTGTTTGAAATATGTAAAAATATTATTTTTCCACTGAAGGAGGGTAAAAACCAGTAAGAATGTTAAATAATTTAAGGATATACGCAGACGTTGTTGTAAACCATACGACTGGTTCACATAAGAGCAATAAAGGAACTGGTGGAAGCACTGCAGACTTTGACAAGTACAGTTACCCATCCGTCCCATACAATGTTGAGAATTTTCATTCATTCTGTATAATCAATAACTATTACAATGCGACTGAGGTAAGAAACAATAGAGGTAATGTGTAGACATAATAATTTATAGAAGATAAAGATTCAATAATTTTAACTAAGCTGATAATAAATTTACTATTAAAATGTTAATGACTGCATTAAAATTTATGAGTTAACTATTAATTATTTGTGACAATACTTACACTAAGAAGCTACGTTCATTATTTGCATATATATTTAAAAGAGATTAAAAAAAAATATTCGAGTTAGTTTCTAGACTCAATTGTGTATTACGACGTTATTGTGACCCTAAAAAAAATAATGCAATAATACTCGTTTTTTGCTTCCATCATAAATTATAGGTATATTTAATAGGTGTCTAATTTGTATACATGAATTACTTTAGACTGAAATACAGAATTGTATATTTTACAATTAAATATATAAGCAATTGAGGATCTTGATAAGTTTTTATCTATTCCTAACATTTTTCAAATATAATATTACTTATAATAGCACTTATATTAAAAAATATATGTAAATATTTTCAATGTTAATAAAAATTATATCACATAAGGATTCTGAATTCAGATCATAAAGAATATTATATTATATACTTTATAATACAGGTTCGCAACTGTCAGTTATTAGGACTGAAAGATCTCAATCAGACTGAAGAATATGTAAGACAAAATATAGCTAATTACATAAATAAACTCATAAAGCTCGGCGTGGCTGGCTTAAGGTAATTACGTTTTATAAATTAAACAGTATTTCAAAACTCTGAAGTAATTTTCCATAACTGGCCTTTATTGCTGCACATTTTTATTTTTATTTTCCACCATAATATTTTAACGATCCAATTGTAAATATTTTCTGTTATTACTGTGCATATTTTCTTAAGCGTTACGAAGTTTAATAATAAAATTGAGGACCCATTAAAAGTTCCGTAAAGTTATAAGATGCCATTCTTTTGGTGACATTTATTTATATATATATAATTTACTCATTCTTATAATATAAAATAAAGTTTCTTTCTTGTAACACTATGGTTTTCAACGTGTCTGACTTAAAAACAAATGTGATGTAATATTTACTGCTGGATAGTAGCGGTATTAAAACCGTCATTGCAGAATAGATGCCGCTAAACACATGTGGCCGAGTGATCTCAAAGAAATTTATACAAGGTTAGACAATTTGAACCCTGAATTCGGCTTCCCACCAAACACAAGACCGTATATCTATCAAGAGGTAATTTATTACGGAAGCGAGCCGATACGACCTGAAGAGTATACGCCTCTCGGAGACGTCACTGAATTTAGGGTGAGTTTGAAAGATTCTTATACCTGTTGTAGAAGGATATTTTTTTTATAAAAATGTTAGGCGCATATTTTCAACAGAGAACATTCTTTTAAGGATTTCTGTATTTTCACAGGCTGTAGTACTCTCATATCAAATCAAAGACACCGTCGAAATTGTATATTTTTTATAATATTAAAAAGAGGGGTGTAGATAATAAAAATTAATTAAAATAAGTATTCTTGGTCTATCCTGGTTACTACACTTAACCAAGAGCCATATGATTAAATCAGATTTTTTTTATCAGTGTCTTGAATGTAAAGTAGTAAAAATTTTCATGTTCTCAATATAGGTGTTAAAATTGAAGTTTTAAAACCCGGTGTTAAAATTAATATTTTGTTCTCTTGAACGACTTGATAAGGTTTCATGGAAAACAATGACTTTCACTTTACATTTTTTTTTTGTTAATTCATCGTACAATAGTTAACTATACTCGCATATTTAAAACCTCTTCACGCCGGACATGTAATTAATCTCCTCCAAAAAATTAATACTCACTTTGATGACTCATTATAATTAATATTTAATTAAAAGAAAAACAAAAACTATTTATTGCCCTGTTAAGAATATTTTTGTATTTCATTTCTTTTATTATTACCTTCTTAGACAAATCTTAGCCCTGTTTTAGTATAAACATACATTTTCAACCGTAATGAGAAAATACGACATTATCATTTTATTTTCGAAGTAAGAAGTTTAATTATATGCTACTTAAGATTCTATACCTATATGTAAATTATACAAGTATTTGCGGTAAAACAAAACCAGGCTATTACTTTTTAATCTGTTTGTTTATGGATTTCCTTTTATGAAAATGAGAAAACAAGGGTTCTATGTCTGCAGTAATCCGTGTCACCTTTGAGAGTCTTTAAGTGATAAGGGTTATCATTAACATTTTCGCTGGTTGAACAAGGTATAAATGGATGTTTTACGACTTAGTTCCCATAATAATGGCCATAGTATGTAAAACATACTTTACTTAAAACTATTATATAATATGCCATACAATAAACATTAACGTACAATTTGAACTTACCTGGTTAACACTGAAAATGTTTAGAACTGGCCAGTTAGAAATAATCATAATGAAAATTGTTTTTGAATTTCTATTTTAAACTCTTTCGGAACCTAATGCATTAATTTACCATTTGTTTTGTTAAATTTTCAACAATTTTAAAACTCTTGTTAGACGTGAAAATGAACCTAACACGAGAAAATTTTCGTTCAATGATTTATTATAACTTTCGTAGTAGGCTTATTCAACAACAAAGATTGGCTGTGGATAGAATTTCTTAACGAAACTCTATCTCGTGCCACTATTTGTAATTGGTTTAATGAGTATAAGGGTAGCCGTAGCAATCTTAAAGATGATCAGCGAGAGCGTGGTCTTTACCAGCGACTATTGAGGATAATATTAGTGCTGTGCGACGCATGATAGAGGAATATAAGAGAAGAACCTATTAGTAGATGTGGTCAAGCCTAGGTATTGCTAGGAGTCAAGTTCAAAAATATTACACGTACAATTAGGCGTCAAGAAACTTAGTACCAGATGGATTCTCCATAGTTTAACACTGGGGTCGCCAATTGTGTTGTATTTGTCACCGTCACAGGTGATGAAAGCTGAATATATATCTACGAACTTGAAGCAAAAGTCAATCAGCTCAGTGGGTGTTTCCTTAGTAGTACATGGAAGGCTGGTATGTCAATCGCTATTTGAATGTTGTCTCGGAAAAAAATCGACAACAGCGCCCCTGCAGTAGGATACTCTTTCACCACGACAATGCTTCAGCACACTTCTTTTCTTTATTCCCAAAATCATAATAAATATTCGAGATATTTGCTTTACAAATTTTGACTCCTAAGGAAGAATGCACTGCATTCTCAGTGGTTCCATCGAATGTGACGACTTGTACAGAGGAACGGAGATTACTTTGAAATACAGTAAAAGCGTTAGCAACTCTCTACTAGTCGTTTTTCATTTTCTAAACATTTTTAGTGTCAGCTTATATGAACGTAAAGTATTACACTTTACGTTCATGTAAATACAGAATAATAAGAAAAAATCATCGATACGAGCAATATTCGAATCTGAAACTGCCGAGATAACTTTATTATTCGCTTTGTAAATTATACTATCCTGACCAGTCGAGTTTATTTTTTAGTCATTCCTTTTACACATAATATTTCACAGAGAGTAGCAGGAATTAGGCTTAAAAAAACACAATAACTTTTTTTCATTGTTTTCATCTCAGATGAGACGCTGTAAATATAATCTGTACTGATATTTTTTTTCAATATTGTTATTTATATATATATTTTTAACAAAATTATTAAAGTTTTTATACAGGTCATAATTTTATAAAGGGTAATGTTTTATTTTATATTTAGATATCTATATATTTAAAGCTCTTTAATGATATAATGCAAAATAACCCGCGAATTTATAAAATTTAATATTAAAAAAATGTACTTTGAACGAATTCGAAGCATGAAAATATAAAAAAATTACTTAAATCTGTTTTGCTCATATTTAAAATGAAAAATTAAAACCATGAAAGGCTAACGTCACATGTCTTAGAAAGTTAATGAAAAACAACTTTAAAGAAGAATGGAACCAAATCACGTACATGCTTTCAAGTTCGTCATGTAATTGAAGTGTAAAAGATAACACAAAGGAGGAAGTAGCAAACCTAATTAGTTTAAAAGTTCCGGGTGGAAAGTTTGCCTCGTGCGGTTAGAAAATTCGAGGATAATGCATATTTTACCCTTTTATTAGGTTTACGGTAAATTAACTAAATGAAATAAAGCGCTTATTTCACTTGATTATAAAAGAATTATAAAATGGTTTAAGGAATAATTGGGTCTTATAAATATATCTTACTGACCTTTCCCTTTCCTTACCACAAAATTAACGAACCGAAACCTCGCCTAAATCTGTAATGAAAAAGGAATTAATCTCAGAAAACCATCTACTTTTCGCCCACCCTTGAAATTAACTTTTACGAAGATAGTTTATAAATTTATTATGGTATTAATCTTTAAGGTTGGCAATGAACTGAAGAACGTCTTTCGTGGAATTAACTCTTTGAAGTGGTTAGTGAATTGGGGTGAGAAATGGGGGCTGTCACCTTCTAAAACTGCTTTAGTTTTCATTGACAACCACGACACACAACGTAGCAGTGACATGTTGACATACAAAGAGGCGAGAGCTTATAAGGTTTGGTGTTAGATATTTAGAATCGATTAAGTTACTTTATAACTACATATCAAGCAGTAGCTTTAAATCACTGACTCATCTAGCTGTACTATACTTGAGCTTTTTATAAAGAAGTAAGTTGTTTCGTTAATTAGTTCCTATGAATATAATAGATCGCTTTTATGCGTCGTTTTTGTTAAGAAATAATTTCGGTGCCTCTAAAAAGTACTTGTGTCGCAATTCGTAATCAAAATATATATTATATAGATTGAACGAATTAAATATAAATTACGAAGAACGCAATTTTAATATGAAATTTATATATAAATTTAATACCAAAGGTTCTTACAGGCCGCCATAGCATTCATGCTAGCACATCCGTATGGTCAACCACGAATTATGAGCAGTTACTTCTTCACAAATAATGAAATTGGACCTCCTAGTGATGATAGCGAGAATATACTGTCACCGATAATAAACGAAGTAATTGTTTTATCAATACCAAAATCACAGATAAATCTATAATTATTTTTCCTTTATCACAATAAAATTGTTGATTGATATAATTTATCATTTAAGAAATTGATAATTGTCACTGAGTTTGAAGAATTAAAAAAGGAGATAAATTTTTGTGTATTGTCTTCATGTAACTGTTTGAGTCTTGATCTTACTTTTAACATTTTATACTTATTTGTAAAATCGTTTCCAAAACTATTTGAATACGCAAAGGGATTATTTCGTACAATTTGTTAACGTGAGACAAACATTATTAAAAAAAGATTTAACGTGGACCAAAATCAAAAAGTATAATGGGATATAAAAGTTTTTCTCCATGATAGGTATCTAAACAATAACAATAAACCTTAACTTTCGAGATCAGTATATATTTTTAAAACTTTAATGTAAACGGGTCTCCATTGTATCAATTAACTGAAATCCCAATTGAGAAGATTAAAATACTTTTTACGCGTCAAACTGAATTAGCTTTACAAACTGGAAATTAAAAAAGTTCCTTCGGTCTGTTTTTGCAGATTAAAACGAACTAAATGGAACTATTCATTTATCTTAAGAATTCAGACAATTCCTAATTATATTAATTAAAAAATCTGTTATTTTAATGAGTGACTTTATTATTATAGGATGACACATGTGGCAATGGCTGGGTGTGTGAACATCGCTGGCGTCAAATATATCAAATGATCGGCTTCAGAAATGTTGTCATTAATACAAGCATCAAAAACTGGTGGGATGATGACAATAAACAAATTGCTTTTGGAAGAGATGCAAAGGGTTTTATAGTATTTAATGGAGATGAAATTGAACTTAACGTTACTTTGCAGGTTTGTTGTACTATACTGGAAATTTATTTTCATCGTTATTCATAAGGGACATATAATCAATTATTGCATTCATATATCTGCGTATACACAATACACGATTTAGTTTTGCTCGTATTCCAGACTGGACTTCCCCCTGGGGAGTATTGCGATGTAATATCGGGTTTGAGAGTTGGATCACATTGCACGGGGAATAAAATATACGTAAATAATGATGGTAGAGCACATTTTTATAAGACACAATACGCTGAAGATATGCATATAGCTATCCATGTTGGCAAAGAGGTGAGGTTTAATATATTAAAATAAAATTTTGCCTTTTAAATTTTGATATTAATTTAGATAGTTTTATAAAATATTTTTTTTTGCTTTACTCGTTTTAATTAAGAAAATTAATTTATTTTTCAGTCAAGAGAATATCATAGAAAACGAGATAAATAATGAAGAACAAATTAATTACTTAATATAAACATTTTATAATACCAATGAAGGTTTGATTTTAATTAAATCCTTTTTCGCTATTTACACAATTTCTCGTATCTTCTAAATTCCCTTGACATGGGTTTCAAATAAAAGGCCCTTACCATAACTGTACAATCGGTTTTTTGAACACACACTTACAATATAATTGACCCTGAAAAAGAAGAAAATGAGTTCCAATATAATCAGATCTTCTATGCCTATAATTATTATTCATACGTATAAATAAGTATTTACGAGTAATACCTACAGCAGTGCAAGTTCTTTTCATATTAATTAATAATCTTCTTTGTATTTATCTTCTTTCATAAGTCACATATAAATAAACAACGGAAAGTAAAAATAAAACATTAAATCTCTAACTAAACTTCTTATAATTAATAATTCTACTACTTAGCGCCATATGTCAGATCCAGCCTAAGATAATGGGCTACCCTTCTCAGAATATATACAAAACCTTTTAGATGTGTAAATGGGCCTTAATAATTATTTAAAATCAGATTTAAGATATTAAAATAAACAATAATACATATATTCAAATGAATTTATATTTTTAGAATGTAACTGGCGTATATTTCATTTGCAATTTCATTTTAAATCTAATATAAAAAAAATTGAAATCGAAAAATATAATGATTTAAACCTTAGAATCATTTTGTATTTACGATAATTAAGTCTTTTAAACTTGTAAATAATATTATGCAATTATCCAATTGCGTTTGAATGGGATATTTATTTAAATGTAATATATTTTGTTTCACAAACAGTTTTTGAGTATCGAGCAGTATTACAAAATGAAAATTGTTATTGTGTAATGAAACTTACGAAAACTTCAGCTACATATTAAGTGATTATTACTCGATTTTATTTATTTCACTCTTACATATCTTACTGTGAGTGCAATTTTAAAGTATGTTTTATAAATTAAAAAAAAATGTTATATAATAATAAGAGGTACACAAATAATTCGGCACTTATCTTAATTTCGAGTTCGTAATGATGGAACAATAACTTTCATTGTAAAAAGTTCTAACACGTTCTCCTGAATATAATATTGTTTTAGTTACTATACCAATCTATTTATTTATAATTTTGCATATTGTTTTCATTCGTCCTCTGTCCATCAGAATGTTTTGTATCCATGGACAGGAATTGTAAGTATTCAACAATTGGAATGGTCATTGTCATCTCAAATAATTGTATCAACCTTTTCAATTTCATCTCCTGAAACATAATGCTTTATGTCCTGTCCATGTTGAATGTTGTTAGTTTCCGGTTCTTTTGTGACCTATCCTGTACGATAAACTTAGTTTTGAAGGGGGTCCTACAAAGCAAAAGATAAAAATGTATTTTCTTCTGTATTTACGATAAAAAATCAGATCGCTGCTGACTTTATTATGTCCTTTGTTGAAATTGTAGGTTTTAAAGAGATTATCTGAGTAGGTATTTATTTTGTTTTTACGTTCATTAATCAATTAGGCCAAAGAAAGAAAGGAAATTAATTTATTTTAGATACGACACATACATAATTTAAAAATGATCTAATAATAATAATAATCATATATTTTCTTGTGACGGAATACAAAAGAAAAAGCGTGAGTGAAGTTCAGTGTAATGTTGTATGCCCAAAAATAAAAGCATTATTTTTATGCTAGATCTCTAACGCAGATAATATAACTGCTGAACAACTTAGGCCGTACATATTAGGTTTTGACGATGTATTCATACGTAGTACACGCAAACTCTTTGATCATGAGAACTTACTTGTACCTTCACACATATTAAATTCTTCTCTCATCTAGGTGTGTTAGTTAATATTTTTTTCAACAATTATAAACTTATATTCCATGACCAGATTTATTTTTATCAATACATTATTATTTTTTGGTATTTGTTATTTATCACAGATTAAATGATATATTATGATAATAAATTATCTAATGAAATAATGAGATTTTATCTAGCCTTTTATAAGTAGCTTGTCCACTGGAGAGTCAGTTGGTGGTAGGATTATACACGCGATTACATATAGAGAAGGCTTTTTGGTAAGTTACTTCCTTTAATGATTGTTGTTATGAAAATTTTGAGTTTATAATAATAATTAGTGTTTTATTCTATGCATTATAAAAGTGCACTAAACGGCAAATTATAGTTATAGTAGATACCTTATGTCTCCATAAGTAGGATCAGATATAACTTTGGATAATAAATAACAAGTCAATCACTAAATTCGTCTGTTTCGAATAAGCATTCAATAATATTTTTATGCCGAAAATTTAATATAAGGCATATGTTAAAAAAAACTGTTATTAACAAAAAAAGTATAGTAACATTTCTAATAGATAATATAAATTACATTTGAAATGTAAAATGTAACTTTATGACAAATCTTCATCTCGAATATTACAGAAATATGAGGTGAAGATTGTGTCCAATTATATAATTATACAGACATGATTCTTAATCAAATTATTTGGGGTTGTAGATTTCATTAGCAAAGTTAGTATTCCATAATGTTTCTTAATCTTATTTGATTCAAGCATTATCATATACTTTGTTCCGAAATGTGATTTAAATTTGTAAGATTTACATGAAATCGATTACTGTAATTATTTTCAAGGAAATAATCTTTTATATACCTACTATTATTATATCATACTTTTTGTGTGCTAGGAGCAAGGATGATGCGTTTCATCCTTTTGCTGTGTGCCGCGTCTTTGGCTGTTGCGCACAAAAACCCGCACTATGCCTCCGGACGTACCACTATGGTCCACTTATTCGAGTGGAAGTGGGACGACATAGCAGCCGAATGTGAGAGATTCCTAGGTCCAAGAGGATTTGGTGGAGTGCAGGTAATATCTGACAAGATTATTATTTGTTTTTCGGTTTACTAACGAATTATACGACGATTACAAATGTTAATCAAGTTGTAACAATTAAAAGATTAGTTTGCTTTATGTAAATGCCACTTATAGGGGTTAGGTGCTGTTGTTACTTTTAAATATTTTTTGGAAACATTTTAAAAATTATGTTAGTTGTTGATTATATTAGTCGTCCTTATTAAAGATACACTTAATGATAAATTACTTGATGTTTGTTTCGGCCGTTTTATCATCATTATTATTTGTTCGTAGTGGGATTTACATAAATAATATATCAATACAACTGTTTCTCCTTCTTCCACGTACATTAAGTTCTTTGCTTATTAGCAATATCAAGTAACAGTTTTTGCAAAAAATAAAACACGAATAAGTCTTTTATATATTTAGGAAAATAACGAATTCGTTATTTTTAATGTTTCTTAATAATTAAAGGGCTACCTTGGTAGCTTTTTCTTAATTAGTAGATGTCATTGAATGATCAACGTTAGGTACGAAGACTCTGTGCTTGATTAAACGTACAGAACATCGGCGACAAGAACTCGATTTATTTAATGAATAGTGGCTAATATAATTAAATGAAAAGGAATTTCTTTTTGAAGAAAATTTTATTGCCTTCTTTGCTACAAAAAGTAGTAAATTTGGAAATATCAAATAATACAAACAAAAAAATTTATGTAAGAAAAATATTCGTTACTTTTAATTGTCTGATTTGTGTAGATTTCTCCACCAAACGAAAACCTTGCTATCTGGTCTCACAACCGGCCATGGTGGGAAAGATACCAGCCCATATCCTATCGCCTCGTTACCAGGTCGGGTAATGAACAGCAATTCGCGAACATGGTGCGAAGATGCAACAACGCTGGTGTTAGGTAAATACAAATATTTACTTAGAAAAACGGAATGAAGTAACGTTATTATACTCAAAATGAAACTGAATATCTGCATAAAATATAATTGAAATCTCGGAACTGAAAAATATATAAGAAGAGTTAATCTAATTCAATATTGGTCCATTCAAACAATTTAAACTTCTTCCTTTATAGCGGCGGGGAAAATTTAATTCAATGTATATTTATGAATATGATTCAATTATAAAGACATCAAATTGCCTCGTTTTTCTGGAAGTTTTATAATTGGTATCGGATTACATCTTCATTGTAATTCAAAATAATATTAACATAACATGTTTTTATATTAAATTTAAACTTATATTTAAACACGGTTTTGATAAAAAAAAATCTTATACAGGATTTACGTAGACGCTATCATCAATCACATGACTGGAACATGGAATGAGAACGTTGGAACTGGAGGCAGTACAGCCAACTTTGGTAACTGGCATTACCCTGCTGTTCCCTATGGCAGAAACGACTTCAACTGGCCTCAGTGCGTCATCAATGGCAACGATTACAGAAACAATGCAGCCAGAGTAAGTGCTCTTTTGAAACCTATAAAACTAGTTTTTTAATAATATATTTATTACATAACTGAGCAAATACACTCAATTATCATATTACATTACCTATTTGTAAGCATACTTTAAAAGCTATTCTTTCAAATTTAATGCTTATGCTAACACAACATCATGAAAGTTCTAAATAATCAAAACTTTTCTTCGGTCTATCTGAAATTGTTCATTATAATAAATTATGTTTAGACTTAAGTAATAGAGTAGGTTCTAAATAATATGTATATGCTTACGGCCTATTCATTTATTTTTATTAAGGTATTTCGCTTATTTATTTGCTAAAGAAACATTAGTAGTATCATAAATATATGTGAAAGTGTAACGATACAGATATATACATATGTATGTTCATATGTTTGAATATATTATAATTGACAATAAACTCTACAACTAGTCTACAAATAGTCTTCAAAACGTCTACAACATCTGTTGGAACAATATTTTACTGAAACTAGTACGAAGAGTTCGTGAATTTTAATTTTAAAAAGGAAGTATATACAGGGTGACTGGTGAATTACTATCAATATTTAAGGAGAATACTCGGTACATGATTCTCATTCGAATTATGTAAAAAAAATAGGCACTTAATTTTTGACAAAATTTCCGTATAAATAAGTAAAGTGTTGACACGTTCCAAGTGTTCAAGTGTGGACGCGTGCGGCCGCGTGCTGATACAACACCACGTCACGACACGCGTATGTGTGAGTGTCAGTGTATACCTAATCTGTAGGGTGTTCACACGATGCGTAATTAATTACATAACTTTTGGTTAACTTTACTTAGAAGTTTATTAATATTTATGTTATATTAATTTTTATTTTGTCATATATGATCGTCAAATATCACGTCCTCAAATATCGATAGTAATTCACCAGTCACCCTGTATAGTGAAAAATCGTTTAGATAAATATTTATAAAACTTAAATTCCACAAAACGATAATATCATACACCATATAAAAAAATTCGTAAATTTAACGTTTAACGAAAGAAAAAATGATTTGACATCAATTTTTCATATAAATAAAAATAATGTTAGTGAAAATAATGTCTAGAAAACAGCAATTAAAAGTTTTAGTTCCAAATCTCTTAAACAACCATTTTTTTCAAAACCTTGTACAGAACTTTTCAAATAGCCAAGCGCTCCAATTTCTTTATTGTAAATATAACAAAAGATTCCGTTTTTCAAAATTTGGTTTTTCCATGATATTTTTCTGTTTACATTTCTTTTTTTTTTGAAGATTTCTTTAAGAATTAGTGGCCAATTAACATAATTTGTGATCATTTAATATAGATAAGATCAAATAAAAAATTATCGAATTCAAGTAACTCAAACGTTTTATCCTCCTATGTGTATCTAATAAAATATTTACTTAATAAACTACGAATTAAGTTCACATAAGTAAGATACCAGTCCTTAATTTAAGGGTTTAGTGCCGAACCTGTTGTAATTTATTAAAGTCATATCCTGTGATCCTTCGGGATTTATCTTGGACCCCTTTTTTATTGGCTGCCTAACTAACCATTACTGTAGGTTTCGAGTTGTGTCCGTAGATTAATTAATATATGAACCACCTGTGTAGACTTCTATATTGTACAATCAAAATATTTTATAACAAATAGTACAACATACGGTATTGTTCCACTTAAAATGTTAACGTCAAATTGGAACATAAATTTTCAGTTTCGATTAAAATTAAACGCAATAAATTCAATGCTATTTATGAATAAATTACAGAATTTCACTTTGAACATACACTCATTTCAAATATGTCATATCAGATTTAGGAGGGTGCGAAATTAAATTGAAGGCTTTCATTGCGAAGGTACGAATACTTTATGAAATATTAATTTACTTGAATCTACACTTCGCCATATAAATGTAAATATGAAATGTAAGCACCGGTGGTAAATAGTAATTCAAAGATAATAATAAATCGCACGGTATCGAAAATTAACGTCAAGTTATTTTCATTTATCCTTTAATTCAATTTTATTTTTCTAGGTCCGCAACTGTGAACTCTCAGGTTTGAAAGATTTGAACCAGGGATCGGAATACGTCCGTACTCAAATTGTTAATTACATGAATCGCCTCATCGACTTGGGAGTTGCTGGATTCAGGTAAAGTTTGTTCTACAATGCTTTAATAATAATACGTAATATGTAAAATTTCATAGAACTAATTTGTATCTTTTATTATTATAGAATTGACGCCGCCAAACATATGTGGCCGAATGATTTGAGGATCATCTACGGAAGGCTAAAGAATCTTAACACAGGACATGGTTTCCCATCTGGTGCTCGTCCCTACATCTATCAAGAAGTAATTGATCTCGGAGGAGAGGCTGTCAGTCGTGATGAATATACTCCTCTCGCTGCGGTCACTGAGTTCAAATATGGTATGGAGCTCAGCCGAGCTTTCTCTGGTCACAATCAACTAAGGTTCGTATATAAAATTTACTTTTTATTATTCGAAAAGTCTTCTTATTCGACCTAGTAGGTAACAGGTAAGCCAAGAAGATAACTTGCAGTTGAATTCTTCTCGTGGAAATCTGTTACGTCGTTTTTATTTTTATTTCAACGTAGATAGTCTCAAAAACGACTCGTAGGCTAGTTAAAACGTAAAATTATTGTTTATTATATATATTAATAAGGAATATTTATTTTATAATGCAAAATATAAATACGGGGATATATGCATTCCTACAAATTTTGTTAATAAAGAAACAGGTTTAATATAAATGATATTTACTTTTTTAGATGGTTGGTGAACTTTGGGCCTCAATGGGGTATGTTGGGTTCTTCAGACGATGCTCTTACTTTCATCGATAACCACGACAACCAGAGAGGCCATGGAGCTGGTGGAAATATTCTGACCCACAAAACAGCTCGCAACTATAAGGGAGCCATTGCCTTTATGTTAGCTCACCCATATGGACGACCACAGCTTATGAGTAGTTTCAGTTTCCACAATACTGAGGCTGGACCACCAATGGACAATAGAGGCAACATTATTTCTCCATCCATCAATTCGGTTCGTGTATTAAATTTAGTATAATACCTTTGGTAATGATAAGAATGATTTAGTAATGGTTTTTTGTTTCAACAGGACAATACCTGTGGCAACGGCTGGGTCTGTGAGCACAGATGGCGTCAGATCTATGCTATGGTTGCATTCCGTAACGTCGCTGGAAACACTCCTGTATCTAATTGGTGGGACAACGGTAGCAACCAGATCGCTTTCTGTCGTGGAGGAGAAGCATTTATCGCTTTCAATCGCGATGGCTGGGATTTGAATCAGAACTTACAGGTATAAAAAGAAATCACAAATAATATAGACTTTTCTAAGTATTATTATAATTAATTATAATGGTAAAATAACTTTGTATCCTTGATCTTATTGGTACTGATAGTATATGTCTAAAATAGTTAAGCTATTGTATTTAATCTGAAACTTATCTCCGTTCAGACTTGCCTCCCGGCGGGTAACTACTGTGACGTTATCTCCGGTGAGAAGAGAAACAATCGTTGCACCGGCAAGACTATAACAGTCGGAGGTGATGGCCGCGCCCGCATTCACGTTGGAGCTAACGACTTTGACATGTTCCTTGCCATTCATAGAGGCAGCGAGGTAACATAATTTATTTAATAATAAAGTAGTTTAAAATTTAATTATATGAAGAATGTTATTTAGTGTTAAAAAGATTGAATTTGAAATTGCTTGTATTTAAAAAAAATATTAATGATTGCTTGTTTTATTTCAGTCGAGACTGTAAAAGGTGAAGCAGTTGCTAAAAGAACAACTCATTTGACAGAAGCTTAAAATAAAGAAGTTACATCCAGTATATGATTTGTAAATAAATCATAAGAGCCTCAAAGTGTTTATTTCTCAATCTTTACATTTAAGTATATTCATACTTATATCCTTTTTGATTTGCCTTATAACTATAGATTTATGTTTAGATACATTTGTTCTTAGCTTGTATAAGTTTATCAAAATAATGTAATTAAGATATGTGTTCGATAGTATACACAACTTAAACTCTAAATTTGATGTTCGACACATCGTATAACATAAAAGATGAAAAAAACAAACTATTCCAATTTCTTATACAAAGTAAAAACTGTTATTCCATTTTTCAAATAGGTCAAAGTATAAGAATTCATAAACAAGACCAAAAACATATAAACCCATATTTACTAAAGCCTAAAGCTATAGCTAAAGGTTTAATATTCGTATTAGTTATTTTTTTAAGATACATAACAATAAATTTATCATTTATTAACAAAAACTTTGACATCGTTTGGATATTTAATACAAAATATATATTAAAAAACATACTCTAACATACTGTGAATCTCATTATAAATTTAAATCATCAAGATTTGTGGTATCGCTAGCTGAAACAATTCGACTTGGAATTAGAGGATTAATACAAATTCGTAACATAGCTTAGCCCGACCTGGAAAATTAATTAGTATTATAATACAAAAAACCTGCAAATGTTTCCTTCGTTACGTAGCTATAACACATTTGTTATCCTTTAAATATAAGTCACCACGTTAGCCCGTTACATATCTTCTTTAGATTACATATACATATATCAGATTTGAGAATAACAAGTTGCAGTGCAAATATTTTCTCACACATACATTCATACAATGTTTGTAATACTTTTAAAATGAGAACAAAATGGATTCGCTTAAATTCAATTTTAAAATATTCTGTTGGGAGAAATTTTAAATTGTATTTTGAATCTTTCATATATTTTTAAAGCCTGGATGTAAAATCGCTTTGTTCAAAAAGGTTCAGAAATAGAGTCGTTAGATGTCATATTAGCAGGCCAGTATCCAGGTCAGTCGTTTCTTCTATTTAGCTTTTAAATTGTAAGAAATATTAGAACGGCTCTACATCACAATTATCTTGTATAGATACATAGATAATCCTTAATGAGATCCAAGACTTTCACGAGTATTTATTTAAATGAATCTAATATTTTTAGGATTACAACGGTTATTTTCTTATTTTTAAATCTACATACTCGCGACGTACTAATCCGAAAATATTAGTTCCATTTAGAGAGGAATCCTTTGTGAATGAAGTTTTTAAGTTATATATTAAAATGAGACGGGACGTATTTTTATGGTTGCACGTAAATTTAGATTATCGATATTATATATTCTTTCAGATGTTTGATAAAGTTTAAACGATAATTCATTACAATTCAACAACCTGAGGTTAAGTACTTTCTATATATAATACGCGATGAATTCGTTTAAGGGATAATATATACAAGTAATTAATTATTTTTGATAATTATCATCAGAGCTGATTTACCTTAATATTTAAACTATTTGTTGATTTAATATTGGTATATAAGAGATACCAATAGTTTTAAAACATTAATCTTTGAATCGGAGACGGAATATAGAAATCTAAGTCCTCTGAAAGTTCATAAAAGAATTCTAAACAAAAATAATTTTATTCAGTATGGTGACGAATGAAATATACTGGTGATTTATATGTTAAATAAAAATACAGAAGTTTATGGGATTTTTATCTTCAAATCTGCTCATTTTAATACATTTGAGTTTTAACTAAATCTATGAAGCTATAAAGTCTAAATTTGAAATGGAAGTACTATCAAGTCTAGACTGCATAATATCTAGCGTTTTAGCTAGATATTAGCAAGTTTCTCGTTACTACTTGATGCAAATTCCCAATTTGGTGAAGTACTGTTATAAAATGTATTGCTTAGTTTGTATGCAAGATAGCGATAAATACTTGGATTTATTTCATTAAGAAACGCGATCGTTTCTTTTTTATTAATGATTGATCATGATCATTTTAGAAATGATTGAAAATATATATTTTTTTGATTATATTAAATTTTGTTTTCTTACAACTCAAAGCTTTTTTTTCTTTTATTACAGTTCACTCTCAAGAATTAATACGTACGTTATATGCTATTTAATCTGAATTTTGATTATAGATTTATTATTATCATAAAAAATATAAAAATCCATTTCATAGAAATTTAAACATTGTTGCAATTTTGATACACTCGTATTGGGACACAAAACAAATCTTTATAATCCAATGAAACTCATTTCTATTTGGAGAAAGCATTTTTATCTTCATCTTCCTTTGGTAATTGACACGATAGTTTTTGGAAACAATCAAATGTAAGTTAAGTAATATATTTACATTTGAAAATCATGTTTTGAAAAGGCTGTATTGAATAAAATTTCGAGGAATATAAAGGCAATGACACAATCTGTCGACTGTATGATTAGAGAGTATTATTTATTCAACATGGTTATATACTTTCTGAAATTATTAAGTCAAAAATGGGTATCAAATGCTAGATCGCTCATGTTAAACTTTAAAATAGATATAGAAAAAAATATACGACACTTTTATGATTGGCCATTTGGTGAGTATTATATGTTGCAAGATAAGGATTTATTGTACACTTTTACCTTTCTTCCAAAAATGTGTAAATAAATATAATTAAAATGATAGTTTGCGTTTAAAAGCAATTTTTTTAAATTAAATGTTTGCATTTTACTAGTTAATCCAGTTACAAGCAAATAATACTCTATGTATTTGTATTATTGTAAATGTATTAAGAAAACAAGCAATTTTCCTTATTTATTGTAGTTTGAGTATAAATTAAATTTTTATTCAATTTCAATATTCAACGTAATCAATAGTCAAAATAATTACATTTTGTATAAGTTTTAATTCCTTAACTGTTTTTACTTGAACTTAAAGCCTTCGGTAAAGTAAGGTTTTTGCAGAAATCAAACAAACAATTTTGTATAAATTTTGAGCGATATTCTCGTAAGTCTTATAATAATCTGTTTAGTATTTGTATACGAAACATGATATACATTTTTAGAGACATTTAGGTAAAAAAATATAATATGATAAAATAAAAAGAAAAAGTTATATAATTTCGTCCTCATATAATGCTCGAAAAACTGTTAAAAATGTCCTGTGATTCATAAAAACCACAGATGTGGATGAAACAATATGACAGTGACAAAGCTGTTTATCATCCAACTCACATAAATGTTCCAATGAATTGTAATCACCAGTCCATTTGGTAAAAAATAATGTAGATTTAACATCGTCGTTGACACGATGTTCCTCACAATAAATATATATAATTTATTTTATTAGGTACACAAAATTTCCTGTTCCATAAATACATTCAAAACATGTTTCCAGTCTTGCTCCAAGATCGGCCTTGGAAATAAAATTAGATTTCCAATAATAAAGATTTTATAAATATGAAAAAATTACGGTCTGGAATATTCAAAGTACTGAATGCGAATTCTTACTTTATTTTAAATTGCTATTTACTTTTATATATAATAATAATTAACCATATTTGTAGACATAGAGCACGCATCTATCTAAGTAAATTTTACCTTCATGAGTTGCCAGTACCTACAGTGAGCTTAATTGTTCATTTAAAGTTATTATAGCTTATGAACATCTGCTGGAATTTTAGAAAATAATATTAAGGTTCATAATTATTTCAATATTGGATTCTTTTAATGCAGTAACTATTGATATATAATATTAAAGAATGTAGAAGTTAGTACATAGTTAGTACATAGATATTAAAGAAAGTAGTAGTTAGTACAAGACTCTGTTGCCGCAAGAAAAAGATTATGACAATAAGTGTAAATCCGTAAATAATCTGTATAACGTAAATCTAAGATTCCTTATATGAAAGTTCTTACGATTTATGATTAATGTATTTTAATAACAACAATTAATTATTTTTAGGTTTTCGGAAGATTTTAGTTTTGATTAAAATACAAATGAAATTCATACTAAGTAATAGATTTACCAAATCCTAACAAAGATAATAAATATATTCCTAAGCTTCTTAGGATTTGTAGGCACTCCTATGATCAAACAGTATTGGTTTTGTTTTTCATTTCACTATAATTATTCTGCAAAAGAAATTTTGCATAAAAAGTTTGTAGTTTGTCTAAACAGTTAAATTATTATACTATCGTTTTTTATATATGTATTTGTCATATTTATTTGATAGTGTTTTAAAAGGTAATTTTTATTTTAAATTCATTTTTAACATTGTCAAGGTTTTAAAAATTTAAATTACAGATTTGTTATGTATCGCACATAAAAATAATGGTTCTTGAAGTTTTGCAAATATTTTTTTTCCTTTTTAAGATTTTTCCATTGCGATATTGTAACAGTTCAAAAATGTCGCAGTTTCGGAATGACTGCCGGCCCAAGCGTTTTTTTTAGTTGGCCTCTTTATCCAAGTTGTGCCGCCCTATTTGTATAGCCTGGTCAAGGCAATACAATTTCAAATGTAACAAAATTCAAGAAGGTTCATTTCTGGACTCGAGTCAACACATGTCCGTTAGATAAAATGTTTATGCTCGCAAAATGTATGCTTCTTCTTAGAGAATTTTCTTAAAGACTTTATCAAAATATTGATAAAATTTAGGAGATTTTGCATCCTCCTGTTATAATTATACTAATTTATTGGGTTAGTTTTTTCAGATAAAACTTTTAAATTGACGTTATACGTCGACAATCGAATATTTTCAATGCAAATACAATGTGCTTACAAATATGGCTTCTCTATATTAATTATAAAACAGGCCATTTCTCGATGGTATCACACTCTTGTTCTAGACAAAGAGGCTGTTAAACATGAATGGCTCTGAAGCGATGTAGGCCATAATTTAAAATGAAAACTCTACCACCCTTGTTAGTGTTACG